TACAGTCACTCATCTAAGTTGTAACCGTAAGATTGTGAAAATTATATTATACTTTTTCTAATATCTGTTTTAAATAAATATTATTAGTAGGATTAAACTGGGTGTATGTTCACTTCGCACCTCTCACCCTAAATAAATTATCCCTACATATATGTAATAAAAATATGTATAAAAATATGTAAAAAAAATACATCAACGAAATAAATTTGCACCAAAGGAAAAAGAATATATTTTAGTCGGATACTCTGAAGAGGCTAAAGCGTATAGACTTTGGGAAAGAGGAATGAAAACCGTTGAAAAAGAAAGAGATGTCAAGTTCCTAGAAGACGAAACCCCATATATTCAAGAAGCTGAAGAAGAAGTATTGTATGAGGTACTTTTAAACATACAAACAGCTAATGAGAAAAACGAAAATCAAGAGGAAGATGATATAGTTAGCGAATCAGATTCAGATGAGGAGATATACAGTACTCCTACCGCTCCAGTTACACAATCAACACGGCTTCGTGGACGGCCGAATCTTTTGAGAGATGGAAAACCAGGAAGGCCCAAAAAGATTTTCATTATACTAACAAAGTCTCGAACCAAAATAGTGTACCGAATGGCGTACAAGAAGCTATCAGTAGTCCAGAAAAAACATTATGATTAGATGCAATGCAAACTGAATACGATTCCCTTGTGAAAAACAATACGTGGAGTTTGGTAAGTAAACCGAAAGGAAAAACAGTCTTAACTAATAAATGGGTTTTTAGGATAAAAGAAAACCAGCATGGCTTCATAAATAAATATAAAGCTAGATTGGTCGCACGAAGTGATCAACAAAAGGAAGGGATCGATTACAACGAAGTATTATCACCAGTTGACAGCTATGAGACCATAAGGACGTTCCTAGCATGCTGTGTGGAAAAGGAAATATATGTACATCAAATGGATGTAATTACGGCATACGTCTAAGGAGACCTAAACGATGAAATATACATGGTACAACTAGAACTGTTTATCGAAAGTAATCAAAAGAAAAAGGTCTGCAAACTTAATAAGCCACTGTATGGTCTGAAACAATCGGGTAGGCAATCGTATCAAAAACTAGATAGTTACTTAACCAGTATTAACTTGCCGCATGTCCATGTGTGTATGTCGACAAAAATGTAAATAGCGACGCGGTAATTATAATTTATGTTGATGATTTATTAATCGGTTCGAAGAGTCTTAAAAGAATACAAGAAATAAAAAGACTGTTAAAAGTAAAATTTAGTATGAAAGACCTAGGTAAAATTAAGGATATATTAGGAATATATATAGATAGAGAAAGCGATACAGGAGAAATGAAATTGTCTCAGCGGTGTTATGTTGAAAATTTGTTAAAAAGATTTAATATGGAAAATTGTAAACCATTAGGAGCACCGCTAGAAACAAACGAAAAATTAATGAATCTAAATGAATGTGAACCAAATGAGGAAATGGAAATGCAAAATAAACCGTATCGCGAATTGGTAGGTAGTCTGATATACTTAGCAAACGCAACACGACCAGATATCGCGTTTGCTGTAGGTGCTTTAAGTCAATTCTGCGATAAACCGCGATTAAGTCATTGGAAAATCGGCAAACGTGTATTACGATACTTGCAAAAAACAATAGATTATGCAATTATCTACAAAAAGATAAATGCAAAATTAGAAGTCTACGTTGATTCAGACTGGGCTGGTGATGTACAAGATAGACGTTCTTGTTCTAGATTCATCGGAATCTTGGCAAATGGTTCAGTTAGTTGGAGCACACGGAAACAAAATTGCGTAGCGCTTTCAACTATGGAAGCAGAATATATAGCTTTATCGGAAGCAACCAAAGAGACAATCTACTTGAAGAGACTGCTAAATCATATCAAATCAGGAAATCTCGCGTCTGATCTGACAGACATCTTTTGCGATAATCAAAGTGCAATTGCTTTATGTAAAAATAGCGTCCTACATTCTAGGAGTACACATATAGATATAAGATATCATTACTCGCGTGAAGTGTTGGAGAATAACGAGATAAATGTAAAATACATAAGTACGAATAGTATGATAGCAGACATAATGAGCAAAGCATTGTAAAAGACAAAACATGTAAGATGTGTAAATTTATTAAATTTATCAGATGATAATACGAACGAAATTGCTGACTTGTGATTAAGGGGGAGTGTTGAATTTGGCGGTAATCAGCGTGTCAGCATACACATACATATACATATACATATACATATACATATACATATACATATAGATGGCGGGTCGGAGACTGAACTAGAAGAGCTCTTGTCTTACGTATATCCGCCGGATTATTCGGATTTTGTACGCCAACGAGTAAACAAGTTGTTTATTATCTTTCTTTCTTTCTTTTGAACTTATATTAACCGTTACTTTACTTATAATAAGCTATCTTATTTTTCTTATACACATAATTCTTTTCTACTCGATGAACGACAAAAAAATCCAACAAAAATAATAATATTATTGAATTATAATGTGTTTCTTTTACAACGACTTTTGAATAGAAAATTTTGTTAGAATCCTTGTAATTCAAAACTCGATGAAACAAAAAAATACGACCAAAATTGTTGCGTTTTTTTTAAAGCATCTATAAGTACTAGTTGCAACAACAAAAAATACTTGTGTGTGTTGACCAGTGATAAAGATATCTCAAATTCACAGAAAGACTATCATCTACCTGAGTTTCAAAAAAGGATGTTTTATATTTACTTAAGTTAGGACGGCGTATCTTTCCGTCGACAAGTATTCCACAATATTTGTTTGTATCTATGGCTATTGCATTCGGCATTCTATCCTAATTGATATACTTTGGAATGTGATAGTTTTGTTAGCTACCTACACCCCAAGGTTGGTTCCTTTTCATGAGGACAGAATTATAAAAAACAGGGAAGCTCTGCTGAAATTCGATCTATATTTATAATCTTCATTATCGATGCGATAATATTCATGCCTATAGTTTTTTTTTTTACAAAACGTGTCATACCTTTTCTATTTAAAAATGTTTCTATTTCATTGAAAAATTAATATTAAATTCTTTATTTCGCAAATATTATAATTAATAATTATGAAATATATAGATAATAGTAATTGTATTGTCTGCAATATTTTACAAAAAAAAAAAAATTATTACAAGATACATAATAGAAAAAGAATTAGAGAACACTGTAAGATACATTAGGAGCAGCTGACAAACTCCATTCAAAAGCAAGTAAGTTACTGTCACATTTTTATTTTCTTTCTTCATAAAATATATTTGATTTATAAAGATCAAAATATGTATATTAAATTCTATTTTTATATGTTTTTATCAAAATTATCCAAAGACATGTACTGACCTATGCATATAAGAAAATTATATTATTAAATATAATATTTGCGTATTTAGGAAACTTATACAAATTTTTAATAGAATAAAAAAAATTAAGTGTGCAGATCACACGTGTTAGAAGTGAAACCTTCAAAAATCTAAGTTTCGAGAGAATGAGACGAATGCACAGTTTCAAGAGTAAGATAATTGCAGGATTTATTTATTATAATATTATTACCATGAATAACTGATAGATCAAACGAGCCTGCCGAAGGCTTAAATTCAAATCTTGGCGCTCTCTGCCATCTTATCTCGACATGCGCCCTCTTTACGCCATGAGTCCTCTTTATTAATATTGTTTTGTGTTTGAAATTATCACGACTTACCTAGAAGATGATAGTGGGTACAAATGATTCTAATATTTATTTATTTATTTATCTTTTTCTCTCTGTTTTTGGGGTAAGGATCAGGGAGAGAGACTATTATCTTCGAACGAAACACTTCATATAGTCTTGATAAAACTTCGATCGCCTTCGGCGGGCTCGTTTGATCTGTCAATTATATTACGTGTCTCGTTCTCGATGATAGTAAAATGTAGTTCTTTAGAGATTAATTGATAATTTATAATCTCATGTAATATTGATCTCTTTGGCACACTTTTATTGCACTCATTTACCAACTAGTAAATATTAGCTTTACCTTTGTAAAAATAAATCTTTTATACCTATTCTAAAATTGCTTTAGCAAACGGATCACTAGGAGTCAGAATTGGACGATTTTAGAACCTGAAGAAGGTCTGAAAGTCAGGAGACCAACCCGCGCTGCGCCTTATGACTGAAATGTCTACACCGCGTTTATGTGCTGCTGATACTGCAGCATGCCCTGTGCTATATGCCGTGAATTTTTTGGTATCAACTCCAGCTTTGCCCAACAGGGACTAAACCCAGTGACCGATAGTTTGCGCTGATACAGCTCCGAAAGGCTTCGTATTTGAGACAAACAAGTTCTTTGTGTCTTTTTTTCTCAGCTTTTTGGTGAATTCCACGTATTCAAGAACTACCGACGTAACACATAAACCTGGTTTTTTCCTAAAAAATGGCAGGATTAATTCTGATTGAAAAACCCCAGGCTTCAATGTCTTAATTTGCTCTGTTATTTTTATTTTAACTCCGGACTCCGATCTTTCAATATTGTCTATATTAATCAAGGCCTAGGTCTGTAATCTCTGAGCCGTCGTTAATGCTAGCAACGTTGCTACTTTTTCAGCTATATTTTTTATCTTTAATTCTTTAAGAGGGTATTGTCGCTCTATATACTCGAACACCGGTGCAACATCCCACGTTGTATTGTATCTGGGCCTCGTGGGTTTCTGCTTAAAAACTCCTTTTAAGAACCGTGAGATAAATCCATCTTCATAGATATTATCAGCCGATATCAACGCTATCGTAGATCGCGCCGTGTTGAGCTTGCTATACTTGGCGCCCTCTTCAAAATTCTGAGTTAAAAAACCAATGATGTCCGTAGTTCTTGCATTATAAATATCAATGCCGTTGCAGTGTGCAAACTTTCACCATCGTTTTAAGCTACATTCGTACTGTTTCAGTGTCGCAGCGGCTATAGCGCCTACCATTATCTCGCTGCATCCGTCGTTACTCCTTTCCTCAGATATGCTGACCGGATAATTTCCCTGCCACCAATGAAAGATGAGACGCTAGGGGGTGGCTCTCGTATCTGTAGAGAGATTTTAATAAATTAATATCTGGTTTAAATGTTATAGTAGGCTCAATCAACGACGATGTGAAGAGTGGATACCAGGGCTGTGTAAGCCATAATGGTACTACGACTATTCCTACCGCTTTTTCGTTGATAATTTTCCTCAACGTGCGCGTAATTAGAGCAAAGGGATGAAAAGCGTAGAAATTTTCGTTTTTCCATGATACCGTAAATGCGTCAACTGCGCTTGCCCCTGGATCCGGGAACCTTGAGTAAAATCTTTTGCTCTTTTTATTCAATCTGGAAGCAAACAAATCAACCGAGATAGATCCAAATTTCCTTACAATTTCTGAAAAGGCAGCCTGAGCTAATTCCCATTCCGAATCTATGTTCACATTGCGCGACGCCCTATCCGCCTCAGTATTATCCGCTGACGCGACATAGGATGCTTTTAACCACAATCTTCTTTCTTCACACCAGTTCCAAATTTCCTTGGATAATGCGCATAAATGTCGAAATCTTACTCCACCTGCTCTATTTATATACGAAATTGCACTGGTGTTATCTAGTCTAAGCAAAATCTCGCAGTTAGATGATTTTGACGCGAAACATTTGATTGCTAAAAAAGCGGCTAATAATTTAAGGTAATTAATATGTTTTTTCCTTTCATTCTGATCCCGAAATCCAAAGGCCTCTACTCCGTCACAGTAGCAGCCCCAACCAGTTAAAGAAGAATCTGAAAAAATTTCCATCACGTACTTATTAGTTTTAATCAGATTCGACCTAATCGTCGCATTTACTCTCCACCAATTCAGATCTTCTACCATGCTCTCGTTGATCACTATTCCATCTTCATAATTGCTACCATTGAATGTCAAAGCTAAGTATTTCTGCCTCTCTAACTGCTTGCAATGGATGAAACCATAGGTTACTGCTGGACAAGCCGACGTTAATACTCCTAGGAACTCAGCAAATTTTCTGATTTTATATGATTTTCCAACCTTAAACTCAATTACCAATTTTACAATCTTATTTTTCTTCTTATCTGTTAAATCTTACGAGAATTTAGTCGAGTCGATGATAAAACCTAGGTATTTACACCTCTGACGCGCCATGAGTGAGCTTTTTTGATGGTTTATAATAAAACCCAGGTTTTCCCAAAGGTCCATTGCCTTTCTCATATTTTTTTTACATTCAACTTTCGATTTATGTATAATTAAAAAAATCATCTAGATACAGAACTAGCAAAATCCCCATGAATCGAAGAATATAAATTATCGGTTTTGTGATTTTTGTAAACACTTACGGGCTAGTGCATAGCCCAAACGGAAGACATAAAAATTGGTATAGCTTTCTTTTAAATCTAAACCTTCAGAATTTTCTATAATTTAAATGGATCGAGACTAACAGATATGCATCTTGGTCCATAGTCCCCAGAAAGTCTCCCAGAGACACTAGGCCCAAAATTGACCTAATATCTTCTAGCTTAAAATGCGGAGGATCAATAAATTTATTTAACTCCTTTAGATTAAATATGAAACGATTTGAACCATCCGGTTTCGGAACTAGAAAATAAGGAGACACAAATTGCCCCTTACACTCTTCACATACTTCGATTGCGCCTTTATTTAATAGTTTATCTATTTCTATCTGAATTTTTTCCGTCTCTTTGACAGAAAAAATCTTTTCCCCCGCAGGAAATCTTTGAACTGGTACCTGAGTAAACGGAATCTTATATCCATTTATGTAACTTAAGATAAATCTGTCAGTGGTAATCTCTTTCCACTTATCCTCAAATAATCGCAAACGACCGGCTATTTTATTTACCTTCTTTACTTCTTCGTTGACGACTGGCTCTTCGTCTGGATTGTTGACTTGGACTGATGCTGACACGTCTTGTGTAATCTCGGTTTGAACCTAAAGAACCGGTATCTCTGGCTCTGGCCCACCTGACGGTAATTCGCAGGTGGGCGTTTTCCGTTTCCCTGGCCTCGTAATTTTTTCGTTTCATCGGGTATTGGATTACAACGATTTTAATATCTATTTATCATTTTCGTTATATTTTATAATATTAAAAATTAAAAAAAAAATTTTTTTTCTATATTTTTTTTTTCGATATTTGTTAAATAAGTTATATTATTGTATTTTTATTGGAAATGTAAAGTAAATTAGGTTTATTTGTTTTTGTCACGTGTCTAGTTTCTTCTATTAAAAATTTTTCTATTTTATTAAGAAATTAGTATAAATTTCGTAAATACGCAAACATTATAATTAAAAAACATGTCTTTGGATATTTATAAGAAAAATATTCTACAATGTTGTCTAATTCATTTTCTCTGATGTATCTGATAATCATTTTTTTTTTTTTGAAAATATTGCAGACAATACAATTAGTATATTCTATATATTTCATAATTATTAACTATAATATTTGCGAAATAAAGAATTTAATATTAATTTTTTAATAAAAAAAATAGAGATATTTTTAAATGGAAAAGAAATGATACGTTTGATAAAAAAAACAGACCACACACCTTCTTTCTTTATTTCGACCGTCGGTTCGTTTGTACCCTATTTTTTTGTCGCATACCTACGTTCTTATCTCTGTTTATTCTTCTACCCTTCTATCTTTCCTACCTACAGACAGTTTGAGTATCGAAATAATGTGTCCACTCTTCGTAGTATGGAGACGCACACAACACACACATATACAACCAGAAGCGATAACTGCGAAGCATAGCATAAAGAGGAGACCGAGAATAGGAAAAACTGTATAGCTATATTCCGTCTCATTCTCTCGCAGGCTCAATCTTATATGTTTATCTTTTTTTCTCTCATTATTTAGTATAGCAGATGTTTCCTGAATGACCGTGTTTCATTTTTTTGTATCACTCATGCGGGGAAGGTATTATCTTTTCGGTCGCTATTGACGTCGGAAAGATGCTGTTTACCTACTTTACAATACAACACGCGTTTTGAGTAAAATAAATGTCAATTTGTTTAATTCCTTATTTAAAAACGCTATTTTAGACGATAAGAATAATATTTAGCTCTTCATTTATTTTATTTCCTGTTTGAATACACTATCGGTCTTGGTGAAAGGAAAATTTAACTCAGAAATTGGAGAGAAACGATATTCCGTTGTTTAAAAAGAACGAAGTCACGTTATGCAAATAAATTTACTTAAAATTTTTCAACTTTTTCAGTATTGTTTTGTGGAGAGGGGGGGCTCTGCCCCCTCAACTCCCGCTTGGGCTCTGCCCCTGGGCCTCACCGTGGCTTTGCCACTGGGCCCCACCGTGGCTTTGCCCCAGGACCCCGCCGGAGCTTCGCCCCTGGACCCCAATTATGTACCAAATATGTCCCCGCATTCGTAATAAAAAATAGTATTTGCAACTAGTGCGAAGTTGTCGGTTGCCCACTCGAGCGAATGAGCTCTCGTGGGTAATTCTGTTGAAATATGTACAGTTTATATTGCTGGTAAGCTTGAGCGGCAGCGGCCTACTCGATCCGAATTTCTTCGAATGGTTCCTTTTTGCTTTACCGTAGTTAGTCGTCGTATATATAGCTCCACGTGATGTAGACGCGTTTGCGCTTGGTCTTTGATGACCATTAAAATATGTAAGTTTTATGAATTAATTGGTAATAATAAATAATAATAGTTGTAATATTAAGTTTGTTATCATCCAACCAACCTGATTTACAACCAGTTTTATTTAAATTTAACAATCGTAACAAAGAAAATTTTAAACCTGAGTTTCAAAAAAAATATATTATATTTACTTAGGTTAAGATAGGAGATCTTTCCACCGACAATCATTCTACCAGTTTTGTTTCTATCTATGGCTATCGCATTCATCATTCAATTTTTATTGCTTGAATTTGGAGAAGTGTTGTTTTTATCAGCTATTCAACCCAGAGATCATACCAGTGCCCTTTGTTATACATGGTAATAATATTATAATAAATAAATCCTTCAATTATCTTACTCTTGAAACTGTGCATTCGTCTCATTCTTTCGAAACTTAGTTTTTTGAAGGTTTCACTTCTAACACGTGTGATCTTCACACATGATATTTTTATATCGTGTGTGTGCTTATATTAGTTATTAGAAAATAATCACTCGTCACTTTCGGTTTTTTTTTCTTCGTCGTAATTCAATTATTATATTTAATCTTATATGCAATAGATATCTGCCGTTATACCAGATATCCTTGTGAAAAAGGAAGAAAAAAAAAGAAGAGAGAGACAAATAGAAGGAGAGAGAGAGAGAGAGAGAGAGAGAGAGAGAGAAGAAAGAGAGAAGAAAGAGATGAAGAGTGAGTAAGAAATGTGCGAGGGAGGGAGGGGAGAGAGGGAGGGAATATGAAGACAGGAATCCAATAAAGAAGAAACTATTGCGTTGAGTCGGATCTTTTTTGACAGGTTGCTTCGACGTAGTGTAGATAGATTGAAAGGATTTGATCGATGGTAATGGATCTTTATAGGAAATCATATATCATTTCCCGATTTTTCCTTCGCATTACTTTCTTTTCTTCTCTAGGATAAAATTGTGTTCAAGTATAAGATGATGTTTCGTTATACATATTACACGTCGCGTACTTAGAGAAAGGAAAAATGAAAACTTTGATGAGGTATAATTATTTTTTTAAGACGTGGTTGTATTGGTATCGAGATGCATTTTGATATCTCGCTGATTTACTATAATCCTATTCATAATAAATTTTCCAAAAAATATAAGATAGTAGGAAAATTTCTATTTTTATTAAAAATAGTATTATACAATTTTAAAATTCTTTTAAAAAGATAATGATACTATTTTTTAAAATATTAGAATTTTTCTTTCTTCTATATCACATTTTTTGAGAAAAGTCTTACTGAATTATGGTAGAGCCAATGTTGTAAACAAAATAAAATAGTTATAGTAATTTGAAATAAGATGTAATGATTTATTATGTATAATGAGATCTTATACAAGACGAGTCAATATTAACCGGACACCTCAATGTCTCTATTGGATTTAACCCCTTGCGATAGATAAATTTTTCTGATGAGAACACCAGCTAGTTGAGAAAATTTAACTTTTGGGAGTTATTTCTTCTTTAGTGATTTTAAAGCAAATATATGGATATTAAAAGACACAAAATTTGTTGAAACTGATTTGTTGCGTTTATTAGTAGTTATTAATTGGTAATTTAAATTAATTATTACTTATTTAACAATATTTATTATTTAACTTATATGATTACTTATTTAATAGTACTTATTGTATATTGTATAATACAGATTATTATAAATTCAGATTATTGTAATTTTATGGGGCTGACAGCATCGATATCTATGATGATTTGCGAATACCGCCACTATGGCGGCGTCGATCGCAAAGGGATAATGGAGCAGTGTATGTTGATATCACAATCAAAATGGTTTCGAAAGACCCAAATAGTCATAATAACATCATGTTTTTTAATGTTATTTTTTTTAGATCTTTTTAGGTAATCCACGTTTTTTTTTTAATGAAATTGCATTTTTTTCTTATACATTATAATAGCTAACACTTTTAGACAAGTTCAACAGTGTACTGCTATAATAATCTTTAAAAGACTTTTACCCAGAAATATGGAATAAATAAAATTTAGCGTGTAAGGTTTATTCACTTTATTTATGTTATACTAAATGTTCAAAAGTATTCAAAAGGGGAGGAAAGTGAAGTTCATTTCATGACCGTACGAACATACACCTGTCGCGTTATTTGTTTCACTTATAAAAGCTTAAGATCACTTTGCTCTTCTCCTCATGTACTTTAAACACAGTCAACTAAAGCAGATATTATAGATTAACCAAAACTATTTGCGCATTTTATAGATTAACCTAGCAATCTATACAATGTTCTACTCGATTGGACAGCCTGGACAATGTAGAAACTTCTGTGAAAATTCAAAAAGTCATCAAATCTCTTAGCATCGACCGGATTTTGGTAGATACACATATATATGTATACGTTTAATGGCGGCCTATTATCAGATTCATTACACAAAGCATGGCTCTTGACCATGGTTAACTTTGCTTTGAACATATCAAACTAATCTTGAGGGATTAGGAACAATCAAGTTTACCAGTAAAATTTACCAACCGTTTCTCGAATCAAGACCGTCGACAATAAAAACCGTTGAACAGAGACCGAGTGAAAATAAGAGAAAAAGAAAGAGAATGGTACGGAAGTCCCTTATGGAAGAATCTCGAGGACGAATCTCGAGTCCAGAATCGTGCTCGGCTTTAGGCTCTGATCGACGTGCCTATCGTTCAACGACGAGTGAAAGTCCGAAAGGATCGTTGATTAGATTTCTAGGGAGAAAATTAGAATCGATTGCCTGAAATCGAATGGACGACTGATTTCTCGATTCTAAGGAACGTCCGGAATACATAAGTTGATACAAAAACATCAAGGTTCTTAGTAAATAAGCTTTATCTAAGATGTTGATATCTTTTCTTCTTTTTCAGAAAATAAGCAAAAAATGTTGATATCATGGTAATCAAAAAATATCATGTGTGCAGATCATACGTGTAAGAAGTGACACCTTCAAAAAAATAAGTTTCGAAAAAATGAGACGAATGCACAGTTTCAAGAGTAAGATAATTGTAGGATTTATTTATTATGATGTTTTTACCATATATATCAAAGGGCACCGGTATAATCTTGTGATGGGGTAGCTACCAAAAACTATCACATTCCAAATTGTATCAATTAAGATAGAATGCGATAGCCATAGATAGAAACAAAAATGGTAAAATGTTTGTCGAAGGAAAGATACCCCGTCCTAACTTAATAAAATCTAATATATCCTTTTTTGAAACTCAGGTAGATGATAGTCTTTATGTGAACTTAAGATTTTTTTTTCATGGGTCAGAAAACCCAAATATTTGTTGTTGTTGTTGTAGCTAATTTCTTGAGATACCTTAAAAAGAACGGAACAATTTTGGTCGTATTTTTCTGTTTCATATTATTCTTGA